CTCATGTATCTACTTGAGCTAAGAAGCACACTCTTCACGAGTATCATTTTATGTCCCATAGTCCAGTCTAATCTTTGTCTGAAGAGTTGGCCTCGGGAATGGTTTCAGTGCTGGGCTAACAGAGAGTCTGGGGGCCATGTCTTCCGGGGGCCCTCCAGTCTCAGTCAAACCATTAAGTCTGGTCTTTTTACTAGAATATGAGTTCTGCACCCCACTTTTCTCCTGCTCCATCAGGGACTCTCTGTTGTGTTCCCTGTCAGGCCACAGCAGTGTTTCCAAGGCAGGAAGCCAGTTGTCACTAGCTTCCGGAACACCATTGGGCATCTGTCTCACACATAATAATTCCTAAAGCTAATGCTTCTCTGGCTAATGACAATAATAACGACGTTGTTGTTGATGTTGGTGGTTACCATCGAGGCAATTCTGACTCATGGCGACCTCATGTGTGCAGAGTAGAACTGCTCCATAGGTTTTCAAGGATGTGTCCTTTCAGAAGCAGATCACCAGGGCTTACTTCCAAGGCACCTCTAGGTGAGTTTGAACCACCACCAACCGTTCAGATAGTGTAGTCCAGCGCTTAACCGTTTGCCAGTTAACACTCTGAGTGAGTTATCCAGTCTAATTCCTACAGCAACCCAATGAGGTGGGTATTGTCACCTGCATTTTTCACTTGTGGAATGACAATTATGGGAAACGAAGGGACTCACCATGGTCCCCTCATGCAGCGTGAGAGCAGGATTTGAACCCAATTCTGAGTGGCCTCAAAGCCACCGATGTGCTCCACCTGTCTTTCTTGATGTCCTTATCGACGGTTAGGAGCAATAAGGCTATTGAAATTTTTTACTAAGAAAATACAAAGGTAGGGAAACCAAAAAGCCAAACCCGTGACTGTCAAGCCGATTCTGAGCCATAGTGACAAAGCGAGGAGGATAATGCAAAACACTATTGTACCCACCTCCCTAAATAAACAAATGGTAACATTTTGTCATAAATGCTTTGAATTTAAGAATTAAATAAAATATTACCGATAAAGTAGAAGTTGCCTATGGCCCCTCCCCACCCTCCTACCACCCTTCCTCCTTCCCTAAAGACAACCAACACCTGTTATGAACTTGTGCGGATCCAATCCATGTGATTACACTCTTACTATGCATATGTGTATCCATCAATAATGAGTAATGTTGTTTTGGAAGTTTACACTTTAAACAGATGTTCCCATGGTGATGGTGATTTTTGCAACTCGTTTGATTCACCCAACGTCATGCTTCATGTTCTCTCCATGTCGATACTTACGTATCTAGTTAGCACTTTTATTTCACTCATACAGGGCTCCACTGAGTGAACACCCAGCCATTTCTTCATTCCCCTCCCAGCGGCCTCCTTTGGTTTCCTTCTGCTTCATTTCTGGCTGTGACAAACAATGCTGCAGTGGTCATCTTTGTTCTGATCTTCTTGCTCACGTGGACATGGCTTTCTCGATGGTTACATTCAAAAGAGCGTTTTGTTATTTAAATACAATTTTCTCCAAAAAAAAAAGATGGAGCACAAATAATATTTTGCTGAAAGCATTTTTTTCCTCCTGAAGAACGAACGCCAGTTCAATCCCAATGGCAGCCAATGAGCACAGTGAACGCAACAGGACAGCCCAGTTGTTGGTGTCCATGGGAAGGAGGTGTGGGATTTCTGTCAGTTCTGTCTTGGGTGAGGCCATCAGCGCTCTTAGGCAAATGAAAATGTGTTTAAGTTTCCTCAGTGTGGTTATTTGCTGCAGGAACTAATACTTTGGGGTGCTGATACTTGGCCTCAGGATAGAGAGTCTTGCTTTAACAATTGTCGTTCATAGTAAGGACAAAATCAGAATTCTGATTCACAGAGCTCCCAATTGCTCTCCCAGGTTGCTGCAACCGAACCCTCATAGGTACAATCTCCAAGAACCTTCTGTGCTGGAGGACTCTGAGTATGGAGTCTGCACTAGAAGTCACATAGCATCTGTCCCCACCTCATCAATGGTTGAGGTTTGACCAAGTTCTCTGTGGGACGTCACACCAAGGGGCCCTGTGTGGAGTCTCCTCCTGCCTTACCGTGATTGTCCAGACAGTGCAGAGGTTGGTTCTGCCTGGCTGGGGTCACCATGCATCTGTGGGTGACCTCAAAACCAAATAAGAGGAAAGAGACAGTCTAATCTGTCCAAAAATAGCGTGAGAGGTGGGTGGTAACATTTCCCTTGCCCTTTAGAGTCACTGTTTAGCTTGGGTTCCACCCACCAAGACCACTTAAAGTGGTGAAGGAAGAGGCTGCAGTGGGCGCAGTAAAATTATGACATATTTTAAAGGCAGGTGTCCTCTCCATGGGCCGCTACAGACTTAAGTACAGTGGCGTCATTGGGGGGGTTGGGAGGGTGGACCACATTACGTGACACTGTCGGAGGGGTGACACCAAAATGACTGTACAAAATTTTTTTGCCATGTTTCAGCAGAAATTTATAAAAATATCCCTGTAGTTACTTATAACAACAAAAACATTTTTCATAAACCCAACTTACATGTATCAATATACCTACAAGGCCAAAAGTCTGTGCTAATTTACTTTTGGAACTTCTAATGCCCTCCGGTCAGAGCTGTCATTATTACCCAATTACAATGACGCTTCAAATGATGTGGTTTTGTCTGCACGCGCTGCAAGCACACACTGTTGTTTTTGTTGCTACCAGTTTTTATGGTCACAGATTTTGTCAAATTTTCTGGTGTTTTAGCTATAATGTTATGGATTTCATTAGTATTTGTGAACCTATATCAATAACTTTTTTGAGAATGAAGTAGTAATTAAAGGAAAAGAAGGAATGATCTACGGGAATTACGATTTATAAGTAACATCAGCCCAAAAAAACATTACTAAGGATTTTGAATGGTCTGGTATGGTACGAGGTCCATGGGGGGGTGACACCATGAGTTCCCATGCTGGGTGACACCAACTCTAGTGATGCCACTCCTCAATGGGTTTAAGAAATGGTAAAATGACCTCTCAGATAATCAAGTTTTCAGAGGCCGTTAGAGAAGTTGTTTGTGAAGCATGCTTAGGTCCTGGGGGGCAGCAGCCAGTCTTTCCCCTCACTGGTGGTGAGAGGCTTATATTGCTGCAGGCAGAGCGTGGGCTCTGAGGCCAGGACCGGCCCTGCCATGCATTCTCTGAGCTCGTTTCTATGTGCCAGGCACTGTGCTGGGCGCTTTGTATGTGTGTGGTCAGCACAGTAATGGCTTCCAAAGATGCTCACGTCTGTCCCAACCCCTGGAACGTGTGAATATGTTAGGGTACACGGAAGGTAGTAGATGAAAGTAAGTTTGCTAACCAGCTGGCCTTAAAATAGAGAGAGAAAAGCCCAATGCAATCACAAGGGCCCTTTAAATGTGGAAGAGGGAGGCAGAAGGGTGCAACCAGAGAGTGATGTGAAGATACTGCACTGCTGGTTTGAAGATGGAGGAGGGGCCGCGGCTGAGGAATGTGGGTGGCTTCTAGAAGCTGGAAAAAGCAAGGAAATGGATTTTCCTCTAGAGCGTCCAGAAGAAATGCTGCCCTGCCCGCACCTTGATTTTGGTCCAGTGAGACTCATTCGGACTTCTAACTTCTAGATCTGTAAGACAATAAACTTGGACTGTTTTAAGCTACTTGGTTTGTGCTAATTTGTCAGAGCAGCCGTAGAAAAGTCAGATGCTGTGTCATCTCAGCTAGTCTTCACTCTACCCTCTGAGCGGCTCGTATTTTAACCAAAAAAATAAAACGTTGTTGAGTCAACTCCACCTCCAACCCCATGGTGTGTCAGAGTAGAACTGTGCTCCATAGGGTTTTCAGTTGCTGATTTTTTCGGAAGTAGACTACCAGGCTTTTCTTCCAAGGTGCCCCTGGGTAGACTTGAACCTCCAACCTTTCTTTTAGAAGTGAGCGTGTTAACTGTGCACCACCCAGGGACTCCATCGTTATTTTACAGATGAGCAAATTGCAACTAAAGGGCCATGAAGCAATTTATAGGAGGTTCGCCAGACCGTTTGGGGTGGAACTGAGATTCTAACCTGGCCCATGCCCAATGCCGATTCCAGAGCCATGTGACCTTGGAGAAGTTACTCACGTTTGAGGCCCTCAATAGGTTTGGACCAGGATGAGGCAAGTGAGGCACTCAGCCTGGGCACAAAATTTAAACAAAACTCAGCCATCAAGATAAATGATACCTTTATGCAATGTTTTTAAAAATCAAAATTAATGCAAGGAACCCACAGTGAACAAAGTATCAGCATTTTATATAAAGGTAGCATCTTTAAGAATAAGGAATAGATCCCAATTCTGCAGGGCTGTTTTGTGGGATTCAATAAAGGAAGGTATGGAAAACGCCTTGGAAACACGGGACTTGTTAAGCGCTCATTGAACGAGGGCCATTGTTTTTGCCGGCAGCATGGTATGGCACGGTGTGGCTGCGACAGTGGGACACACAGGCTCCTGTGGGGCATGAGACTTCCAGGGCTCAAATCCCAGCTCTGCTGTCATTACAGCCCACGTGACTTTGAGCAGGCCATTTAACTCCTCTGTGTCTGAGGCTGCCGAGAGGCTCTGGGATGATGTCGCCTCATTCCTAAACTTGCTTCTAACTTTTAATTTTCCTATCAATGAATGGTTTAAGCATTTGCTATTCCTAACAATTTTCTCTCTCTCTTTTTTTTTCTGGCACAGCTTGTTTACCTTTAGTGAGTTTCATCTTCTGAAAACAATGCTTTTTTGGGTCTACTTGCAACTAAACCACAAAATTCAGACAATTCCCATCTATGAGACCGTGCTGGCATTTTTTAACAGGTAACGTAACTTAGTGTTGATGGGTGAAATGGACACGCGTTGCTTTTTTTTTGCTCATACTGTGATGGGGGTGGGGTGGGTGGAGGAGAAGAACTCTGGTGACTTAATGATTAAGCGCTTGGCTGCTAACCAGAAGGTCGGTCGTTCGAACCCACCAGCCGCTCCGAGGGAGAAAAGACCTGGCGATCTTCTCCCGTAAATATTACAGCCTGGGAAACCCTATGGGGCAGTTCTACTATGAGTCGGAATTGACTCGACAGCACACCACAGCAAGAACAATAATGGGAGGGAGCACCCATGATATAATTTTCCATAGCATCATCCAGAGTAGAGGGAACGCAGTTTTCTTTATGGGGCCTAAGATTACAGGATGACTTTGAACAACTGGATTACCTGGAAAAGTAAATAACATGTGGGTGTTGTAATGTGCTTCTGAGAACTTGTTCTGGGCGCAGTAATAAGCTTGCTGCAAAGGGTGCTCTTTTTATCCAGGAAAATTACTGCTCTGCACTGACCTCAAAAGACTTCGTATTTAAAAGGTACTTGAAGCAGACCAGACCATTCCCATTTGTAGTTTACTAGATAGAATATGAAATTCCAGGTTTTCTGGGCAAATAAAAAAGCATTTGAATGTACCAAGGTTTCATAGGATTAATCCAGTTTCTTATACTCTCTAAACATATAAATTCCAAAAGTTACATATCTCAGCATTTAACTGAAAAATAACAATGCCACCCTTGAAACACGCTGACTAAGTGCAGTAACCCTGAGAAGCACTTTTGGTACATTTTCTCATTTAATCTGCATACCACTAAGAGGCTGCTTTCATTGTTCCCATTTTACAGATGAGGAAACTGAGGAAGAGATGAAATATCTTATTAGAGATCACACAAGTAGTAAGGGATGGGGTCTGATTTGAACCCTGATCTGCCAAAGCCCAAGACGCATTACTGCCCGTTCCTAGAATGACAGGACTCCTCTCTTGGGCCCACTCCAGTTGGTTTGGTCATGGCTCCCTGGGCACTGTGTCAAGAAAGATCCTGAGGTTGCCTCTAGGTTAGTGTTGTCATTATTGTCAGTGTGATCATTAAGGTTGTGTGTTGGCGTGGCTGGGCCATGATTCTCAGTGGTTTGGCAGTTACGATGTAGTTTGGCAGTCATGTAGTGATGTGACCACCTCCATGATGAGATTTGAGACAATGTAATCACTTCTATGATAGCCTCTGCTGTGAGTAGCCCATCCGTTGAAAGGGAGTTTCCTTGGGTGTGTGGCCTGCATCCAATATAAGCGGACATTCTGGCAAGGCTTGTGGGCTTTTGCACGCACTGGATCCTGCAGCTGGCTCCTGTTTACCTGACCTCCAGTTCTTGGGACTTGAGCTAGCAGCTTACCTGCTGATCCTGGGATTGTTTTGGGATTGTCTTGGGATTGTCTTGCCTGCCAATCTTGGGATTTGTTGGTCTTCGCAGCCTGTGAGCAAGAGCCCTGCTGTCTGACCTGCCCATCTTGGGTTCACCAGCCCCTGTGGCTACGTGAATAAGGAGAAGCCTCTGTCTTAACCCATGGACTTGGGATGTGCCAGCCTCTACAACCACATAAGCCATTTCCTTGATATAAATCTCTCTCTATATATATATATGGGGCGGTGGGGGTGGGCATGGTAGTCCGTGGGCTCCATTTTCTGTCTCCTTGGGCTCTATTACCACCACCTGAACTGGTGACTTTGAAACCCAGGGCATCCCAGCCCACCAGGGAGCCACTCTAGAAAGGAAACGACTGGCCCCGTTACCTTTGCTGTCAGTATTGTTTCTTTTTTTAAATTGTGGCAAAAATATACATAACAAAACGTTTGCCAATTCGACAATTTTTACATGGATAATTCAGTGACATTGATTACATTCTTCATGTTATGCAACCATTATCCTTTTCCAAGTTACTCCACCACTATTAACAAAAACTCAGTGCCCGCCAAGCAATAACACCCCCCGCCACCCTGATGTCGTTGTGTGCCTTGAGTTGGTTCCGACTCATAGCGACCCTGTAGGGCGGAGTAGAACTGCCCCATAGGGTTTCCTAGGCTGAAATCTTTAAGGGAGAAGATTCCCAGGTCTTTTCACCCACCGAGCAGCTGGTGGGTTTGAACCACTGACCTTTCAGTTAGTAGCCAAGTACTTAACCATTGTGCCACCAGGGCTCCTTCCACCCCTGGTAACCACCAATAAGCTTTGGTTTCTATATATTTGCCCATTGCATATAAGTGAGATCATACAGTATTTGTCCTTTCGTGACTGACTTATTTCACTCAGCATACTGTTTTCAAGCTTCATCCGTGTTGTGGCATGCGTCTGGACTTCGTTTCTTTTTATGGCTGAGTGGTATTTCATTGTATATATAGACCACGTTTTGTTTATCCAACCATTCGTTGAAGGACCTTGGGTTGTTTCCACCTTTAGGCTATTGTAAACAGTGCTGCAGTGAACACTGGCCTACAGCTGTCGGGTTTGTTTTTGCACCCCTCATCAGCAGGAACGGGGGCTCCCAAGCATGAGAGGGTTCAGAGAAGTCGGTAATGCCATTTCTTTTGCACATGTGAGTTTAGCAGATTAAACACATCTTCTATATATTATCAATCAGCGGCTTGATCTCTGTTTAAGCTAAGTTTCATTTGCTCTGTTTTGAAGCATTTAACTTGTTTCTGAAACAGCTGTGCACCCTGTTAACGAAAGAGCCCCTTTTTTTTTCTGTCTTGTTATTTGGGGAAGGCAGTATTCAGTGCCGGAATTCTATATACTTTGCTTGGTTTCTATATAATTTGCTGGGAACCCAAATGTTTTAAATCCCCCTTCCCTTTTACTAGCCCACAAGATATGTTTTCCAATGAGTCATGCATACCAAGAGAAACTGCCCTTTGGCTCCTGACTCGCGCTGTCTTGCTGGAAACAGCTCAGCCCAAGAGATGGGAAATGAGCTAGGATGTGGTCTTAATGTGAGAGAAACAAGTAGGAATGAGAGAGTTAAGGTATGAAGTCCCTGCATTGGAACTGGGGTTCAGTGGCCTTCCCTAGCACCCCAGAGCTCCTTCCGGAGAGCGGAGGGAACATGGGCAGCTCTGGCCATCATAGGTTTGCCATTCCTCTTGAATCTACCTGGATCCCTAAGCCTCACCCCTCCACACGACAGTTCCCCAAACTACCTGATCCTGCACAATTTTTCTTGCTAGAAACCCTTTGCTTGTTTCCAAATCATCTCACTGCCCCACTCTTAAGTAATACCTTCTAGTGGAGGTGCCCTTGACTGCCTGCGTGCCTGTCCTGTGTCCTTTCCCTCCCTCACTCCCTCTGCCCTCCGCTTGCCCGCCACCCCCTCCAGCAAACTTTGTGTTGGACTGGAAGAAAAGGCGAGAAAGCAAGGGGAAGCTCTTTCTCCTGCAATCACGAGGCCAGCTCTCCCTGCGGCCTCCCAGCTGTGAGGACCACGTGGACCATGTTTAGGATTGTGGATGCTTCTCCTCCTGTCCCAGCCCACTCCACAGCCCCACAATGGTGAGATTGCGCCCCTGTCAATGGCCCTCCACTCCCAAACACACATCTCCTGCCTCGCTGGCCTCCTTAACCTCGTGGATCAGTGTCCGCTGCCTGTGCTCACTCTGCCCCAGCCTGCAGTGCCCCCTCTTCCAGCCTGTCCTGGGCAGGGGCTCCTACAAGAGCCTGTCTGAGCAGTCCCTTCTCAGAGATGGTCTCCCTGACTAATGTCCCCACTCTGAATTTGTCCTTACCCTATGCGCCTTAACTCAGGGCAAGTCACAGCCAACCAGAGGAAACCTGCCTGTCTAAAGGATGGTGCTACAGTCCACCAGGGGCTCAGAGAACCACCCAGGACAATGTAAGGCCACCAAAGCCAGTCACACTCTCCTGGGCTGAGCAGAAGGAACACATCCCAAGGAATTCTTGTCCTGACAGGAGCTAGGCTACACCCTGCTCTGTGCAGGGCCCCAGATGTGTGCCTCTTTATCAAACCAGGACTATTTCACACGGTTCTCCTAAAGGGTTCACTTTGGTCAATGTATTTGGCTGTAGGGAATGACTTGACTTTTGCTTTAGAGCAATTTCTTGGCAGAGCTTGTTGACCTACCTTTCAAATGGCTTCAAAGCAGGTCTCTCTTTTTTTAAAAGAATGCCCATTTCGCCATGCCCACTAGATGTGCTGTCTGCAGTGGGTGGTCAGAGGGAACCTGGAGTCCTCTTGGCCGAGCTGTCCCGGGAACCCTTGCCTTGGACGGTCATTATGAGAGAAGCATCCTTACAATGGCCATAAGCTGCCCTCTTCTTGTGGGGTAGAGAACTGGCCTGCTTGCTACAAGTTTGGCCTGATAGATAAATGCACATAGTCTTATAACAGGCCTGATAGATAAATGCACGTAGTCTTATAACACATTTTTAGGAACCTCCTGAGTCACGTGAAGTCCCTGGATAGTGCAAACAGTTAAGCGCTTGGCTGCTAACCGAAAGGTTGGAGCTTCAAGTCTATTCAGAGGTGCCTTGGAAGAAAGGCCTGGTGATCTACTTTGGAAAACTTGGCCATTGAGAACCCTGTGGAGCACAGTTCTACTCTGACACACACAAGGTCTCCATGAGTCAGAAATGACGGCACCTGCTTTGGTTTTTGGTTTTGACTCACGTATATGTGTGGCCTTATGTGTAAGTATCATAGCAGATACATCAAAAGCAGCTCACAGGAAGGGTTTATGATCCTTTGTCTTACCACTAACGTGCCTGGAACTTCGCAGTATCAAACGATGAGAGTCCATCAGACATTTTTACGGTAGTTCGGTTCCCCTCAAAGAAGTAGATCTTAGGGTACTGATGCAAAATTCAGAGAACACCACGCCCGCAGCAACTTGAAGTAATGGGGATGGCAGATGGTGAGCAAGAAGGTCTCGGTCCATCGGTGGTGTTCACCCTGAACATGGGCATGGGCAGTGGGGGCACCATGCTCCCTG